GTACCTTCTGTGTTCTTAAAAAAACAAGTCTACTGTTCTAATGAAAGACGAGTTTGTTAGCCCATGGTGCCTTTTCAAATCTAGGATGAAAATCTGACCCTATGGACATCAAAAAATGAAAGTCCCATTGAGATCAGTGAAATGAGAATTTCACTCTAGACATTTCAAGAGCCAAAGTAAGGTTGAGCTATGGCTGACTTTTGCAAACTGTCAGGTAAGTGTTGCAAAACACCTATTCTGTAGCTGCTGAAAACAGGTGATCTATCTTACTGCTTTCTTACGTTACGACCGTGTTTAATGAGACCATAACTTTGTGGATTTTATCAGACAGGACCAGTGAAGACCAATATCTCATCAAGGCCAAACTGTAACGAATTTTAATTCTAACATCTTTCAGTAACCAAAAAAAGTTACAAAACTATATCATGTTCAAGATCCTAAATAACCATCTTCTTCAGTTTCTATATAATGAAGTAACACAAAACATGATAAGATTGATAGTAATGACATTGTGAATTCTGTTTAGCATGCACAAGGAGACCTAATTGATATATTGAAAGGATATGTGTGAAATCAGTTGAAAAAAGTGTTAATGGTCCATCAGAGAAACCAAAGGAAAAAAAAAGATCCAGATCTTAAAAAAAAAAAAAGATATGAGTACTTAATGTGGGCCTTAGGTAGTATCTAGACATTTAAATTCACCATTATAATTCTGAAAAAAAACCCTTATTCAGCCATTATGTAACCCTTAAGGTGCATAAGCTAATTAGATGGTGCAATTGTGACCTTGGAATTGCTTGAGGTGCCTGTGGCTCTACTGCTCTCCATGCAGAGAAATGCTCTGTTTTCTGCTAGAGTTGAAAAGCTCAGTGGCTCAAGCTCCAGAAATTAGGGATTTCTTTGCCTAAGTGTCTGGGGAATTAGTCCTGTGGGGTTGCCACGACCTAAGTCACATTCACCAACCAGATCTGATGCTTTACAAAACGCTATCGCTTCTCCAGAGACTCGGTGGCTGATTTGGCTTCTATTCTGTGGCAACTACTGCTTTCCGTTCCTGCTATTGGGGCCTTAGGTATCTTACATTAGATTTTGGATTGCACTTGGAAATTTGAACGTTAGACTTTGTAAAGCTTAATTTTTATTAACCTCATTCCTTTGTCGATGCAGTATGTAGTAATCTTTCCACTCTGTTACAGACAAAATCAGGGACCTGAATCTGGCCTTCCAAGCTGCAGAGAGATGTTTCAGCTTTGGGAGCTTCTTTCCTTCATGGAATATTAGGGTTTTGTTCTGCTTTGTTTTGTTTTGTTTTGTTTTTGCAGCTATGATTGGAGAGATGCACTGTCTATATACAGCTTTTTCTATCTAAAAAGATCTGAAAGAACTATCCAGTATTTGAAATGATAGCAAGCAGCACTCTGAAAGTAAACATTTCTCAGGCTGAAGTTGCTCTTGTGGATATCAGTCATGATCGCACAGGACACTCTAGCAGACAAATTTCTATTTTCCCTTGCCTTCTGTCCGAGACCCTTCAACAAAACTAGTTCAATTAAACTAAAGGTTTATTTATAAACAGCTAGCACATGTAGCTGCTGATATTTCTTAACAGTTTCTGGGGGTAGTTTTTGTGTTTCAGTGACTGAAGTTATGGCAGAAGTTTGTATGTCCGTTTGTGGCACTGAATTCTGTAAATGAAGTGATTGTTTCAGTTACTGGCACTTCTACCACCCGGCTCACATGAAGCACAATTTTACTTACTGATAGTCTGTTGAACCATGCCTGTTGATCTTGCAGACAACCAATACAATCATCTAAGTAATTTAAGTGTGGCTGGACCTGACTTCACAGCAGCATTTGGGCACACTTTAGAAGTGCATATTTCATCAAAATTACCGCAAAATGACTTGCTGGTAATATACCAGACAAAGTCCTAGGAAAACCTGCTTTCCATCATAAGGAACAAAATTAGTATTAGGCCAGAGGTCTTGTGGCCTTCCATTTATCATTTATAAATTCTCCAGTATAAACTATATGGACAGTAATTATCCAACTTCAGCCAGGCAAGCAAAATTCTAAGATTCTATAATACCCTGAGTTATCCTCTGATATTCTGGTCATATCTAAATTGTTCTAATATTATGGCCATATCTAAAGTTATTTAGGAGGGAAATTGAAGGTAGAGAGCAAGCACTTTGACTAATACACAGTACTGTAAGATTTCGTTCCTACGCACATAATAGCTGACGCTAATTAAAGAGGCTTTACCCAGGAAAAGTAATACACATACGCTTGCTATGGAATTTTTCACATAATCTTTAAGGCAGCATCAGCCTAAGGAGTCCTCTTGGCTACTTGTTCCTTTGGAACTTCTAGCTAAATGACTACACCCCGAAGAAATATTATTGACAAATTATTCCTGCCTACTACAGATGGGTTCTTAGAGCACTTCATCTTCCTTTCCAAATGCATGGCTCCAACTGAGTGGTGAACCAAGGATATA